TTCTTTCGCAACAATAGCGCCGATTGGCGAGAATAATCACGACGAAAGAAAAACCGCCTGCTTGATGTTAGTGATGTTAGTCGTGAAATATAGATGTGCCGAAGTGTATGTGCCCTGTTACTGGAATGGTATGAAGCCTTTGTGTTCTGTACATGCTGTAAATAAACTTTTTCTAAACAAGGAGCTTCGCACCAAGTCCATAAGGACTTGGCGCTAAGCAGCGCCCGTTGAGTTGTTTTATATGATTTAATTTGTTACATATCGTGTTTCATTGCATCTATTGTATCGTTATACCATTGTATCATGATATCGCATTGAGTTCTTGTGTACATATATGCTAACATTGTCATGTATATTAGAGCAAATGTCTTCACTGTAACGTAGTGATGTTAGTCGTGAAGATGTGCCGAGGTGTATATGCCCTGTTACTGGAATGGTATGAAGCCTCTGTGTTCTGTACATGCTGTAAATAAATTTTTTCTAAACAAGGAGCTTCGCCCCTAAAATTCGCAGCGTGTGCGTTATCTAAAAGCCGAATTCTCCTGGCTCTCATTCCCACTTAGCAGGCATAGGCATGTACATTGAGAAAAGAAAGGATTGCTACGTTATACTCGCTGGACGTAACCTCCTTGGTTTTAGAAATGTTTAGCGAGGTTTTGGCCGCAGTGCCATGAATACAGTGAACTAGTATACCGTATACCATAAACTCGAGATGGTTAAAGGTGAGAAGTAGACACGAAGCGCAAGCCATAAGAAAGTGTGCGTGTGCCATTTCTCGTTTAGTCCTTGGAATGTCCGCTGGATGGCGGTGCTTCTATACGGGGAATATATGATGAAAAGATGCGAGATGGTGTTACTTAAAGTGTTGAATAGGTGGACGAACGGACACACAGACAGATGCATGGACGGACGCACGGATGCATGGGCGCATGGACGGACGCAGGAGCGGGACGCATGGACCAACGCAGGGACGGACGCACAGATGGACGTGTGGACGCACGAACAGACGCACGCATGGATGGTCACACAGACGGACGCATGAATGAACGGAAGCAAGAATGAATGGACGGACGGATGCTCCGCCCCACTCTCTATCATTCACTCCGTGGATATGCTGCCATTTTTTACATTGCCGCGTTTCATCGTTGCTTGTATAAATATATGAAAGTATTACTGTCGTTGTTGCCTGTCACAATCGAAGCATTGCTACTGTAGCGTTGCGCTGTTAAGCACATGGATGAATAATAGCAATATACCTTTTTCAAGCCCACATACTGCCGCCAACAGACGCCCAAGCACTTATGGGAAGAGTTGGAACGCCGTATTACGTTTGGCCGGTAATTTGTCTGGACAGACGCCAAATCGCGCGCATGTGAAACCGGTCTACTAGGGGGGCTTTCAACCCCATCGGCGCCCAGTCTGCAAGACGCTGTCCGGTAGACGTTCCGGGAAACAGTCGGGTCTCAAACAAGGAGGATTAAAGAAAAATTGCAATTTTTTTAATCCTCCTTGGTCTCAACGAAAGCTTCGCGAGGCAAGCCTTTTGTTTAACGCGCTCGATCAGCGGGGGAACGGCGCCACTGTGGCGGCCTCATTAAGACAACCTCGTGACTCAGCTTTTGTCAACTACGCTAGGCCATCTCAGCGCACCGACAGCCCGGAAGCGTGGGAACGTGAAGCCGTTCACCGAAATCGAGCGTGTGGACCGCTGCTGGCGGTTGGGTTAGCGGCCATCTCCGCGGAGGAGCTCAACTTTTCCCCTCCGGACTCTACCTTCTCGCCCTACGGTGCCTTGAAGGCGTGGGCCAGGTGCGTTCCTGCTACCATTGGACCGTTTCGTCCAACCGAGTGGTGCAATGTCTGCACCCTTTCTGGTCGGTGGACCACAAAGACTTCTTCCCCTGCTTGGTGGCAAGAGCGATCAGCGCCTCCTTCGGACGGCGGTGACGGCGGGCTGTAAAAGCCGAAGCATTTTTTGTAAATAGTGCTAAATCACGTGAGCTGAATCTTGAGCTGCCTCATGGGCTGAATCTTGTACGGAATCATGAGCTGAACCTCTGTTGTACATAATGCGGGATCTTCTGGATCCCTGTACAGTTCCTATCTTTCTTCTATAATGTAAATCTACCTTCGTTCTATCTCTACGAACGCGTCTCGTCACTGGCGAAGATCGGCTATGCGGACGACGGTGGGAAGCCAGCTACCCTATAGAGATACCCGCCGTTCATGCCATCATCAACTCCCTACCCTTAACAGCCGGAGCAGCCGCCGCGACGAGTGCGGTGGCGCATCACGCTTCCGGTCTCTCTCCCTCTCTCACGCTTCAACTTTCCGTTTGCGCCGTTCCAGCGCTTCACGAATCACGTGAGCTCAGCAAGGTGGGATATATTACTGCGTGATTCACTCACAAACTGCAGTGTTCGGGTGCGATGGCCTGTCAACGATTTGCACTTCTTCCCATGTTCAACCGGCTGAGAAGCGTCAGTTAGCCCGTCAGTTAAATATTATTAGTATTATCCTTCCAGCTTCAATATAAATAAAAAGCAGTACAACTTTGTTGCCTAAAAAGTGCAAGCACTGCCCGTGAATTCACGGATGCATTAGGAATAAATGCATGTCGTTTGATGCTGTTTGCGAGTAAATTATACGGTTCTGGTATATTCAAAGAGTGCTTTATAAATAAGCGCAACTTCTTAAAATGTAATACATTGACTAGACCACTGCTCGCCGTTCACAAAATATACATCTACCAACTTCCCTTGACATTGCAACTGCAGGTCGGAATAACGCTACAGAGAAGAAGAAGAAGAAGAAGAAGAAGAAGAAGAAGAAGAAGAAGAAGAAGAAGAAGAAGAAGAAGGGGGAGGAGGAGGAGGAGGAGGAATATGCGCACTGGAAACGCTCACTCACGACTAAAAGGTTATCGCGCGTGGTAACAAACATATAAGAAAGTGGGCGCGCATCGCGCGTGTCACAAAGAAGTAAAAAAGGACTAGCAAGCGAGGTGCGTGTTTACAGTTGATTAATGAAGTTAAGTTTCTTGCTTTGTAGCGATAGTGAAGGTTAATCGACTTAAACAAGGTGCGGTGTTTTTCACAATATGTCTCGGAGATTTCTCGTGTGGCCTGGTTAGCGTGACTGTGCAAGATTGCCCGGCTTTCAAGAAATGAAATTGCATTTGAATTACTGAAAATTCAAGGTGAGATGGCTTGATTGAGTGAATTTTGATGCCCTGTGCGCGTGTTAAAAGATCTACCAGTCTGACCGATCTATATGTGTTACCACAAGATGAATTCAATTTGCAACTCTTGCACAAAAATTGAAAAAACGATTGGCACGCCTCTCATAGTACTTTTCTCTGCTCATGTACTGCAGACCCCTGCGACCTCTTGTGCTCTTGGGAAGAAATGTTACTAAGCTAATGGTGCGAAAAACACTACCCTCACCTCGTATCACCTCAAACTTTTTTCAGACTCTGCAAAACGTATGCATAAATTAAGTGCAATGTTGCTAGTTTATTCGCGGGGGAAAGTAATCGGAATTAACCTTTTACCTTTTTTTTTTGCACTGCGAATGAGCTGTTCACGAACCGATGCAATAATAATAGGCAGGACACCGTGTCTTCTTGCAGCTGCAAACTATTGCTCGTGTAACCTGCCCAGGGTTTTTTTTTTTCGCCGAGCGTAGTTACGATATTTTTATTCCTCACTGAACAACATTTGAATGCGCCCACGTGAAATTCAGTAGTGTTCTCACTCAATCCAGAACATACTGCCAGCAAACATGCTCCGCACACACTTAAGTGTCTTATAAGAAACGGCAAACTTAATGTTAGGGCAAGGTATCTCTCACGTGAATTTTAGTTCTATTCCTCCGTATTTAAACACGTTTAGGATGTATTTACTTTTCTTATTTCAGCGGGTGACTTGTCCATGAAAGCTTTAAAAAGCTCTATAGCTGCAACACTTTTCTGCGGCCTTGGGTTGACGACTCAATCAAACCGCGCTGGTAATAAAAGCCACAGCACATAATGAGCAGTTCATCGCTGAATAACTATGAACTCAGTGTTCCAGCTCGCATTCCTCACAATAGCATGTTTTGACGACACGTATCGGTACGCAACAACTCGCATCCGGCTCATCTTCTACGTACACCCATCCAGTGATAGTCACACTGACTACGTTATCTATTTCACATTTCATGCGCAGATATACATGAAGGTGCGCGCTAGGACCCCATTCAACAAGCGGTGGCATGTTTCTTTTCCTTCTGTGCTCGCACGGCGCCAACGAGCAGCAGGGGGAGAACGGGCTGGTTCTTTCGGGCTACCAACTTTGCCCATAGTGCGCCGCGCGCCCGCGGGGCGTTGGGGGATTGCTTGAAAAAGGTCTATTGGTGGTGGTCTAACGTTTCAAAACTACGATATAATTATGTGTTTAGAAAAAAAAATGTTTAACTATTTGGAGTACTTCGTACTCAATTATGGGAGAGCACTGAGCCGCTAAAAACTGTGTACAGCTTGAAATGAAAATGTGACGATATGACTATGGCAAACGCAGTAGTCGGGCTCCGAGAATTTCCACCTCCTTGGGGTATTCAACGCGCACCTAAATCAGAGTACATAGGCCTCGAGCATTTTCGTCTTCATAAGCGCGTCCATAAAGGTGCAGTTCACTGCATTCACAGTACACTGCATTTGCATAGGAGAGCTTTGAGAGACCGTTGAGCACTGCGTTAATATTCAAATGAAACAGTGCACACGACTAGGCTGCCATAGCCATCAGTGTCTTGAACGGCAGTGTCTGTTAAGAAATAAAGAAAGAACGAGAAAAAGTGGAATCAGATCATGCGCGCCAAGCCTGGTACGCTCCCAATTTACCTGTCGAGGTACGGCTTGTGAATTCTTAATTTTTCACCAGTATTATTGTGCCCTACTGCTATGCCTTCCCTATTCCTCCATCTGCACTTACACGCGACGACTTGCATCCTTGCCTATGCAGACGGAGGAGAAGCAGGCGCACGAGATCCGCAAGCTCCGCAAGCAGCTGGACCAGGCCAACGAGAAGGTGGCCACGCTTACCTCGCAGCTCACCACCAACGTGAGTGGTCGTCCACTTATTTTCCGCTTTTTATTTTCTTCCAGGAGATGTGGGACAGTGAGACGCGATGACGCGAACAAGCGCAAAGGCTGCTGTAGCTCTCACGTTAGTGGTTAGAATAGCGCTTTTGTCGACGAAAGTACACCGTTTCCGCAAAGTCATGTGAGGGTTGAAAAACTGTTCGCTTTGGGACCCGAACCACAGGCGTGTGCATAAGCAGCAGCAGGGGGGGGGAGGGGGTTACCACCCTCCTGGTCACCTAAGAGGGGCGGCGGGGGGCGGAAGGTCAGTCTAACGTTCGGGGGGCGGGGAGGGGGGGGGGTTGCGCGAAGTCATAGATAATAAAGAAGGGGTGCTGCGATGAACCGTCGCCTAAGGTTTCTATATTTTACCTAGTAACCCTTACCATCCCTGAAGGGGAACCGCATGCGCACGAACCGCGCGGATAGGGTTGCTTTTTTACAGCAATGGCCAGTTGGGACACCATCCTCGAGAAAAGGCTAACATCTATCCTGGTCCTGAAGATGAAGTACTTCTTTGTACGCCTACGCATACTCCCGGATTGCGTGAGCCGTGTTTCATTTTCACCTCCTTGGATCCTACACCGTTCCCAGGAAACTTTCACCGTGAATAATTAACGTCACATCTACAGGGAGCGTTTCTTATGACCGTCGACGCCACGGTTACGAGATAGTTCATGCTTTGCGTCGGAAAGTGTTCATTCAGCGTGTCTTTGCAACATAAGTCACCCCTCGCGAGAATTATTGATTGATGCGCTTCCCCTCTTGCATGTACTAGCTACTTACTAATTCAGCATCACTATATACACACACACACACATATATTATTCTTCTTTCATTCTACGCAAATCTGAGCGCAAGAGCCTAGGGCATTTTCGCCTCCATCGAAATTGCAGCTGCCGTAGCTGGGATTCAATCGTACGACTCGCGTATCAGCAGCCGAAAGACCGCGGTGGGGTAGCGTGTTGAGTTTCAAGCTAGACGCCACACGAAACTTGTTGTTCAGCCGGCTTATTTCCATGCGAAAGAAGTACTTGACGCCCACTCTTCACTGGCAGCAGCGGCATCGCATGAGCGTCATCTAAACCTGAATCCTCTGTTTTACGCAGGTATTCCGACGTCAATTTTTTTCTCTTGTTAATTTTTCACTGCTGCTGCTGCTGCTGCCATCAAGTGTATCTTTTCTTCTCGCTTTTTTTTTTTTTTTTTTTTTTTTTTCCTGAGTGTGTTTCTTACTTGTACCATGCCGACGAATGCAGAACTGTCAAAACAAGTTGAGGCGTTGGATGACAAGCTTAACAATATAGCTAAAGGTACAAGTGAGCTCATCTTTGGTAAGATCCTGCTGAGAATGAAGGAATCTGGGATCGATGTTGTTGAACTTAAGAGAGAAGTTGACTCGCTGAGTTCCAGTGTTGAGCATTTGAATGGACTTCTTGAGGATATGCGGTGCAAAAATTCTGCGTTGTCCGATGAAAATACGCAACTCCGATCCCAGAACCAATCATTGACCCGCAGGGTCGAGGAGCTTGAGCAGTACTCTCGTCTCAGCAATGTCGAGATCAAGGGCATTCCATGTACCCAAGGAGAAGACTGTGTTGAAATCCTGAAAACAGTGGGGGACAAAATTGGTTGTCCCATTTTGCCCTATGATCTCGATATTGTTCATCGCGTGCCTACCCGATCTATTGACAAGAAAAACATCATTGCTCGATTTTGTTCTAGAACCAAGAAGGCCGATTTTGTTAGCAAAGCGCGTAAAGCCAGGCTCTGTCTTAGTGATATAGGGTTGTCTAGTCAGTCCAAATTTCCCGTATTTGTAAATGAGCATCTCACTGCCTGTAACAAGACTCTCTTCTCCAAAGCTCTTTCATTGAAAAAAGAAAAAAAATGGTTGTTCCTGTGGACTGACAACTGCCAAATTAAGGCCAGGAAAACAACTACTAGTAAAGTTCTACGCATTCGGGACGAATCTGACCTAAACAAAATAGTATAAAGCTGTTTGTTCATACTTTGGATAGTACAATCATGGCTTCCGTACTAAAACCAGATCAATTGCACTCTTTTCTGAATGGATTTCATTCCATTATTCACTTTAATGCAAGAAGTCTTCATAAACGGTTTGACATCATTGACGGTTTCCTCACTTCACTTTCTTGTTCATTTTCAATGATTGCCATCACTGAAACTTGGTTGTCTGACGATGACAAAAATCTATATTGCTTTCATAACTTTAATTCTGAATACTGCAACAGAATAACCAGTAATTACGGTGGTGCTGCCATATTTGTTTCTTCTGGAATAGCTTATCGAAGAAGACATGACCTATTCTTAACCGTTGATAACTGTGAGTCTGTTTGGGTTGAAATAGATAACTGCTTTTTGACTGGTGACAATAAGAACCTCATATTTGGTTGTGTTTACCGTTCTCCTTCATCACCAATTAGTGATTTCTGTACTAATCTCGACCATATTTTGCATAAAATTTCAATAGAAAATAAAAATGTTGTCATAATGGGTGATTTCAACATTAACTTACTAGATGAAGGATCACCCATCTGTATCAACTATACTAGTCTGCTTCATGGTTACGGATATGATTGCCTGATTGACGCTCCCACGCGTGAAGATTTTTCAGGCTCATGTACACTCATCGATCATGCTCTCTCTAATTTACTAGACCCACCAGAGGCAAAAGTTTTACACATTGACATCAGTGATCATTACCCCATCATCCTACGCTTCAATACTAATGCTCGACCGCATTCCTTTTCTCACACAAGATATGTGCTGGACAAAGAAAGTTTTAAAACGGCTGTTGCTAACACTAACTGGACTGAAATTAAGTCAATAATCAACCCACAGAAAGCTTTTTCTAAATTTCTTTCACTGATTTCAACGCATTTAATGAAATTCACTTTCAAAACAAAATGTAAAAAAATCATCGCTTTCTCTCATAATCCATGGCTTTCGCAACAGCTATTAACAGAAATGCGCAAACGAGATAACTTGTATAGAAAAACTAAAAAACAACCTTTTAATAAGAACTTAAGTGCCCGATATAAAATCTTCTGCAATGCTCTTAACTACAAACTTAAAACTGCCAAAAGACTTTATTTTGAAGAAAGAATCCAACATGCTTCTAGCACTAAAAAGAAATGGGAGATTGTGAACTCTTTTTTAAACAGGAACTCGAGACAAGACGAGGTACGTCGAATTATAATTGATGGAGTAGAATATGATTCCCCTTCAGAAGTAGCTGAGGCTTTTAGCAACTTCTTCTTCCCTGATAATACCAATTCTCCTACAGAAAGCATTAATACTTCTCGCTTACCCCACTCATTCTTTTTATTTCCTACAATACCGGATGAAATAACTGATGTTATTCGTAATTTAAAAATGACTAGTGCTGGCATAGATGAGATCCATCCTGCTAACATAAAATCTATTGTGCATATAATATCAGACATTCTTTCATTTATTGTTAATTTGATGTTCAAGAATGGTGTATTCCCTTATGAATTGAAGCGTGGCAAAGTTATCCCTGTTTTTAAAAATGGGGATAAATCATTACTAAACAATTACCGTCCTATTTGTATTTTACCATTCCTTGGAAAAGTGGTTGAGAAACTCATTGAGACACGACTAACTAAATATCTTTCCAAGTTTAACATTATCTCTTCCTCTCAGTTTGGTTTTCGCCATGGCTACTCAACAGAGATGGCGCTTATCCATCTTACTGATCAGATAAAAAAATTAATAGACGAAGGATGCCTAGTTGCCTCAATATTCATCGATCTAACAAAAGCATTTGACAGCATAAATCATAATATTCTGTTCACTAAACTGGAGTCCATTGGCATTTGCGGCCCTGCTCTTTCATTACTAAAAAGCTACTTACACAACAGAGTTCAAGTTGTTTCTATTTCCAACGTCTATTCCCGACAGCGAACCACTAACATTGGTGTGCCCCAAGGCTCCATTTTGGGGCCACTTCTGTTTTTGATTTATATTAATGATTTGCCCAAGTGTCTGTCTTCATCACAATGCATTTTGTACGCCGACGATACCACCATATTCACCTCTCATAAAGACATCTCATCTCTTGTAACCATTTTGAATGCTGACTTAGAAAGTATTTTCAAATGGTGTAATACTAATATGTTGTCTATTAATGCTTCTAAAACCAAGTTTGTTGTTTTCACCTCACACCAGCGGAATGTAACATCCGCACCTAATATTACTTTTGGCCCCCACTCTATCTCTCCTTGCTCATTTTCTTCCTTCCTTGGCATCCTTCTAGATTGCAATTTAAAATATCAGAGACATATTGCTCACATAAAAAAAAATTAGCATATGGTATAAGAGTCTTGGTCAAAACGCGCCCGTACTTCTCACGCAGCACATTACTATCCCTCTATCACTCTTTCGTACATTCTCATTTTACCTACGGTATAACATGTTGGGGCAATACTTACAATACTCACATTTCGTCTCTTCAAATCGTCCAAAATCATGCTATTCGACTAATTACATCCAGCCCACGTTTTTCTAATGCTAAATCTTTACTACATGAAAATAACATCCTTACTCTCACTGAACTTACTAAATTCAACCTTGGCATTTTTTTCTACAGACTTCTTAATAATCAACTTCCCCCTACCATTTTCCCGTCTTCTGATCTTGTTATTTATAGTAATACCCGATTTGCACTAAACAACAACTTCCTTCTACCCAGTATACGTACTAATTATGGCAAACAAACTGTTAAATTCACTTCTATCTCATTGTGGAATACTCTTCCACTTAACATAAAATCTATCAGTTCATTTCATCAATTTAAGAAACAGTATAAATTGTATTTGCTTCATGCGGACTAACCATAAGACTTACTGCTTGTTTTATTTGACGTATGCTTTTGTTTGGTCTGTTTTTTGTATTTCTTTTTATTTGTTTTTTTTTATTTCCTTTTATTATTTA